CTTTGGAGTTGATAACATTTTCCTCACTATCGAATAAGACCTGCAGGCTGCTGCCGCTCTCCGTTCTCAAAAAAAAACCCTACACTACATGTACAGTGTAGTACCTAAAAAAAACTAGCCATGACTGAGGGACTGGTGTAACAGTGGTGTGTATAACCTCGCTAATGGCAGTGTCCTCAATGCTAATGGACGCGTCATGTTTTTGTTTATAATTTAAGGTGCAATTTAGCGCTGATGTGGGTATTTCTTTGCTTTTCTTCATTTGGTCCTTTAAAATGAAGCGGCTTTTTATTTCCTTTTTCTTCCTTTGCACCGAGATATTATTTCTTGTTGTGTTTTACTGGATGTGTCACGACTTTGAATTGAATTGAATTTTCTTAAATTGATTTGATTTTTAGCGTTATGAGCGGCTTTATTGACATTGCTCTTCAGATTGGATTTTTTATTGGCCCGTAAAAGAGGCTCCTTTACTTCCTAAATTCTGCACTATTCTGTTCGTGTGGACTTCACATGTGTGACTTGCACAAATTGTACCAGTCTGCTGTGTCTTATACAGTACTATTCAGTTTAATTCTATCATTCCGCAACTGATTATCCTCTGGTGAGCTGCTTTCAGTGAAATCATGAATCATCATTTGTCGTGCAGTGCTAGTTGTCGGAAGTTGTAGCGTGATGCTATATTTAAGAATTAAACTTGTGGAAGCTTACACCTTTCTGTGTTAGAAGCGCTGTGTATTCCTAACTTAGCTCCAGGACTATGTGTATAGAGGGAGAGTGTGTTATCTTTGCAGATGCTTGGTGGCACAGAAAGTGTGCCCAGTATTTCATGATGTGTTGACCATGGTTGTCTACAACTCCCAGGTTCCGTTTTTGAGGTTTTGGCACTTTAATCATTTTTCAATCCGCGATATTCATGTTAAAACAAAATGGCGTCACGATTTATTGAAAGTGGTATAGTTGGTGGTACGAGTGTTCAAAACCATTTGAACTTCATTCTGTTCGTCTTCTTTTTGACATGCTCTCTTTCCATCGTCCTTAGCTTTTGTTTGTTTTGAGCTGTTTTGGCTTTCTCCAGTACCTCTGGGGGATGCCAAGTGATGGTTTTGAGAGGCTGGTGATGGCTGTGAGCGAGAGTTTGCCGATCGGCGTCGTCCTCGCTGTAGCGATGAAAATACTAATTACTACGCACCTGGCAGATATCACAACACGTCGGAGCGTCCAGGAGCAAAGGAATCTTGGGTTTTCACTGGAATCTAGTTCCTCCAGCATCGTGTAGCCCACCGTCGGAGAATGGCGGTCCAGAAAGGTCGAACTTGGTCTTCTGCAGCACCTCGCAGTCCTGCGAGGCACACCGTGTACGCCTGCCATGTATTGTACAAATAAAACTCATGCAGTAGTGGACTCTACAGTGATGAGTCTCAGCCTGTATGCTGCAAAAGACACAGGAAATGTGACTGGTGTCTGTACACTCAGTGACTGGACGCCAACACCCCAGTCTTCTTCTGCAGGATCTGTTTGACATTGACATTATGCAGGAGGTCGGCATTGACCTGGTTTGGCAGCTAACGTAATAGTATCAGCCTGGTTGGATGTAGCAGGTTGGCGTTTGCTCGTCGTGCAGTCCGGAATTTTCTTGTAACTCACGGTGGAGTACGCGCAGGGTTTGTGATCATCCCTGTTCACTTCAATATTATCAAACACAACGTCCCCAAGATGAGTCATCTTATCCTAAGTACTGAATTTGCTGACAATATTGCACCACACTTGTCACAACCTACCGCCACTGCTGGCGGTGGCGACTGGTTCGTCAATGGCGGTGACCAGGCTGACTGACTAGCTTCGAGACAGCGGCCTCGTTGTCAACCCCGCGACAGGTTGATTTTTATCGATCCAGCCTCAGCGCCATATTGACGATGCCCTAGTGACTGTGTGTCATGGATTGCCTTGCCATCAGCGGTCATTGCCGTCCACCTTGGTGCAGCCCTCAACAACTGGCTCAGCCCATGGGAGTCTCAAGTGGACAAAGTTGTTGCCAAAGTAGCTCAGAAGATTGGTGCATCGTGGTGTAGGTGAGCACATAACTAGGACTTCCCAGCGCCTATTTGTCCAGGCTGCGATACTCTGTGACATGCTGTACTGCACATTCTTTTCAGCACTGCAAGGCCGGCAGCTGGACCGACTGCAGGGGCCGCGCACATGCAGGCCGCCTGTTGCCAGTGCAGCATTCTGGAACGTTCCTTCCTTCTGAGATCCGTGGAATAATAACTTTCTTTGCTTCAAAGCAAGTTGCTCACCTTTCTGTTGTGCTCCCAGTGTCCTTACAACAATAACCTACAGCAATGTTTTATTTTCCTTTCCATTCCCCAACCAATGAATACTACAATGTCGATTCTATTTCTGAATACTTTAGTGTGTGCCCGCGCACGCACGTGTGTGTGTGTGTATACCTCACTCGCCACTCGAAGTTCTGTTCCCCATTACTGGAACACTGCCTGTTCTTTCATGACCTGCCATCATCTGCGGATGGGCATTCAATGATTATATTGTGTGTGTGTGTGTGTGTGTGTGTGTGTGTGTGTGTGTGTGTGTGTGTGTTTCATTCAGAATCAGATCCGCTATCGTTGCTATAAGAGAAAATCTGTGGGTTCACATCCAGTGCATTTGTAGATTTGCGTGCTTTTCTCGCCACGGGCGCATACATGGGACATTGTGTGTGTGTGTGCGTCTGTGTGTATGGGGGATATTGTCTGTATCGGTTTTGGTACTAATGTTCAGGTCTGTGCATGCATGTGTGAACATGAAATTGTTCGGTTCTGTGCATGCTATTGCTATGTTGTATATTATTGTATGTATGTGTGCATTTCCACGAACAGTGTAGATGAGCGTGGAGAGTGCATTCATCCCTCATCAACCACTTCCCCTTGGGCTTACGAGAGTTTTTTCTGCGTATCTCTCATTTTTGTTTGTTTCTCTCTGATACTGTATTGATGCCGGTACCTGTACCTCGATGTGTTCCTCTATCTGCAGTCGCCTTTATCCTTCGGTCAAGTTAACGTTTATTGTGCTCTATTTACCGTGCGAATCAAAATAAACAATAATAACACAAGTCATGCTAGAGTGACGACATGTGCGTGTAGTAGGGTTGATGCGATGGGACGTTATAATTAGGTGAAACAGAACACACATTGGGCAGATTGATTGGGCATCATTGATTGTGCTCAGTCTAAACAGTGAACATAATAATTATCTCCAGTGACAGACTGTAGCGGCTAGCCTCCAATAGGTAGCTGGCACTAGTCGCTACTGCTTGTTTGACAGGTGCCGCCAGAACCCCTGTTGTGTCATGCTATAGATGCACATGCCCTATTCTGGGGCATACTGAGGTACTTTGATTTTGTTGACTGCATGTAGACAGCGTCCAATAGTAGTACTCGTAGACCTTGGCTCTTTGTAGGTCAACCACCATCGCATGGATCGATCGGTGACTATGCACTTGGAGGTTGGAATAGCCCGCGCTGAACAGATCTTGCCATGGCCCAGGGAGTGAACTCGCTTACTCGACTATCCCGGTTTTAGTTAACCAGCATGAGTGGTGCAATTTGTCCATAACATGTTGCGAGCTCACAGTTGTTTGGGCAGGTTTGAGCTGCACCACGAAACAAAGCGAAATAACGGCGTGACTGTAGAGCAAGGAAGCGGCGAGACGGCACTTCCAGGACGAGACAGGCAGTAGAGATGTGTTCACAGCACGAGCAACCACTTAAACCCTGCCGGTACTCCACAGTTACAAGAAAATGTCGGACTGGACGACGCGCCAATGCAAACCTGCTACATCCACCCAGGCAGATAGCTGCCAAACCAGGCCAATGTCGACCCACTGCATACCGGTATGTCAATGTCAAACATATCCTGCAGGAGAAGATTGGGATGATATTGGCGTCCAGTGTACGGACACCAGTCACATTTCCTGCGTCTTTTGCAGCATACAGGATAGACTCAAAACTATAAAGTCCACTACTTCGTGATTTTTATTTGTAGAATACATGACAGGCGTATTCAGTGTGCCTCGCAGGACTGCGAGATGCTGCAGAAGACCAGGTTCGACCTTTCTGGACGGCCATTCACCGACGGTGGGCTACACGATGCTGGAGGAACTAGATTCCAGTGAAAACCCAAGATTCCTTTGCTCCTGGACGCTCCGACGTGTTGTGATATCTGCCAGGTGCGTAGTAACTAGTATTTTCATCGCTATAGCGAGGACGACGCCGATCGGCAAACTCTCGCTCACAGCCATCACCGGCCTCTCAAAACCATCACTTGGCATCCCCCAGAGGTATAGGAGAAAGCCAAAACAGCTCTCGACAAACAAAAGCTAAGGACGATGGAAAGAGAGCATGTCAAAAAGAAGACGAACAGTATGAAGTTCAAATGGTTTTGAACACTCGTACCACCAACTATACCACTTTCAATAAATCGTGACGCCATTTTGTTTTAACACGCATACGGTCCATTAGGTTGAGGTGTTTTCTTTTTTTCCTTATTAAAAACTTGACGTAGTTACATTTTTTCCAACATTCCCTGTGCTATCTTGATGAGGAGTGAAGGAAAGCGTTGTTTGGATGAAAAAGTGTCTACTTGATAGTGTCGATTTGCGTCTCTGCATGCGAAGGTATAGATTGCGAAAATATGGGGTTTTGTTCTAAAGTATGTAGTGCCGCTCTCAAAACATCTGTTTCAATTTCCCCTGTCTGGTGACCACTGCCATGCCTGAAACTTCTCTTTGCACCTGGTCTTGGCGCTTTTCCTGATATTTCTCTGGAAATTGGTCTGTTTAGCACTCTATTCGAGGTGCCTCTACCTTTTGTGGACATATACGTGGAGTGGTTGCATTGGTTGGTTGGATCACATCAATGTCTTTATAAAGGCTTTTTTTGGAATACAAACTGTCAATTCTGCAGATAACTGGTACTTTTGCTCCCAGAGCCAAGAAGCATCGGGAAGCCTCCAAACACTTTACATTTCCACACCTAAGACATACGATGATGCGTCTGCTGAGTGTGCCCGGAGACGTAGCATTCTGGCAAATATCCAGACTAGATATCATGGAGAGTGTGCAAGAGAACTGCTTGGACCCCGAAACGGTCAGTGCAACAGTTCTTCCAGTGGTAACTGCACGACTTCCTCGTACTTCTGCAAAACCAATACATGCAATGTGTGGGTTGCTCTTCAACGACCATCTCCATCCAAACCCTGGACATGGATGTTACCTGTTCCAATCGCTGCAAAAAACGTTTCTTGGATTACTGCACCACTACAAGAAGGTGGTGGACGGAACGAATGCGGATATTATTCCCCGGAGAAAGACAGTTTTGGAATCGAATCTTGCTCAATGAAGCTAAGTTTCTATTGCCAAAGATATACACCAAAAGGTAGGGATCTCATAGAAATTCTTTCACACACCCATTAGGCTACTCTTATACTTGCCTAACAGCCTTTCCGTATTCACCTAACTATGCACTAAAGGGGCTGATAATGTAACATTAATTTGTAAACAAAGGTTGCTTTTAAAACTTGCTAGCCCACTACGGCCATTCAATGCACATTTTTCGATCCATGATCATTATCACAACTACCATAATACAAAGATCGGGATCGATGTACATTTCTTCTTCCAAAACCTTCGGTTTTGTTTTATTCCTAGGGAAAAATGGCTCGGGCAGGCAATTACCACTTGGCGCGGTGATTGGAGAGATTTATAGCCAGCTTCGGGAGTACGAAAATGTATAGAAAGAAAAATCGAAAAATGAAGAATGAAAAGTTGAAAACTTGTGGTCAGGTGCTTTTTGCAGGGGTACGTGGGTGCTGCTGATGGGGTTTCTCCCTCAAGCGCTCAATATCCCGCTAGGGTCTAATGGGGTTAGCGTCCGTCGAGAGTTCCCGTCGGACACGGACACAACCATTTTCTTTAATATTTCCTCGAAATAGACTTGGGTATGTGTTAAATAATCTTAACCCTTGCTGTTCCGAAGCACGTACTAGCTGGCATTACACGCGATATTCACATTGGGCACTAGGAAATTCGCCATTTCACTAACCAATAATGATATCACCTAATTAAGGAATTTCCAATTCTTGGTCTTGGGCAGTAGATACGATAGATTTGACCAGGCAATACGGCAGTAGTTAACATGTGGCAAGATAATGAATTGTAAGAAGAAGAGCGAAAGCGGACAGGAAGATGGGCGCAATGTGAGTATAATTATTACAGTTATGTCCCGACTTGGAGTATTTCGCTCCTGCTCTTGAAGCCGTTGAGCGCTCTTGTCTTTGCTGTGTACGTTATGCAGAGCTCCCTGCCTTGTGAGTTTGAGCACTTTGGCAAGGTTCTGCATGTACCTCCGTCAACGTCCTTCACATCTAAGAGTTTCATGTTTCAGTCTTGTTTGCGCGCATCATCCCCTCCTACTCCTATAACTTAGAACCTTTCAAGTTGGAAGGCGGTTCGAGTGCGATTCTAATACAAGCTCGAATACGTGCTAGAGTTTACTGGCAATTGGTTGTTGACCGTCAGTACTGTTCAACAGTGTCGTTCAATTGCATTGCATGAGTTGATGGTCAAGCAACTAATGTTGTTGTTAATGGACATTAAAGCGTAACTTGCATTTCCTGGATCATTTTCTTTCCTATCTATATATTTTATATACCTGTTAAAGATTGCTGGAGTCTCGGTTCGAAAATCTTTTTGAATTCTGATTTTCTGGAAGCAGTCAAATAGTCCGTACATATACAACTATTCTTGCATTAGAAAGGTAATATTCGACAAACTAAAAACCATTTACTTGTACATGTCTTGTTCACTGGTATTCCCTGCGTTCTTCAATATGCTCTTTCCCCTGTAGTGCCCTCCGCCATAGCTGTCAACTCTACAGACACGCACATCTACGCACGCATAGTACAGCCTAAGATACTTCGAGATTGGGTTTCTGATTTCTGCTTTCTGTACGAGAAAAATGGAACTGCGGCTACCCCGACGGTAGTGTGCGACAAAAATGAATCAACTGTTCTGTCAGGCCTGGCAACAAATACTTTGTACCGGATCAGAGCATTCTTCAAAACTACGATCGGACACAATAGCAGCATATCCTCCGAAATCAAAATTGGAACATTGCCGAAAGGTAAGGGATGCGGTTACATCATAATTATACCGACACCAACAGGGTCAGGAGTTAAGAGTTTTGCGTGAATCTTTAAGGATTTGGTGAAATGAACATTCTTCCTATTGTTCCGGGCAAATTCGTTTTGCCACGATCGATTTCCTCAAATGACATTCCATGTCACGCTTCACATAATATGCATTGCTGATTTGATCTAGGGTATAGCCACATATGTGCCCACATTATTTCGTTGGCAGGGAGAGGTGTAAGGGAAAACATGAAAATACGATTATAGAAATAATCTACGTGGAGATAAATAAAATTGTTTTTTCACGGCTGAGCGTAGCGAAAGAGTGCAAAAAACGTATTTTTCACTCACAAATATTTTCGTGCATTTGCTCTTGTTCTGCGCAACTCCGTTGAACCTGCCATCGTGGTCTTTGTTTTTCCTCGTTGTAGTTGAAGTTGCCCGCCCACCCACCCTGGGTTCATGGGAGTCGTCCGCTGTTCTTCTTGACAATCTATGCCTATGTGTGTGGCTTATGATTATGACATACACCGGTTATTACATACCATTTCTTGCTATATCTATTCTTGGGTCCGACTGGCAGTGGGGCAGGAATTAATGAAATAGAAAGGTTTTTTGGCCAAAAGGCGTGTTTTTCCTCTATCTCGGTTGAGCAGTCACGGCTAGGAATGTAGGGAGTCATTGTTTTTCAGGCGCTCCCCTGCTGCCCAGTCACCCATGGTCACCACTGGCCATGCTGTTCACTGGATTTCACGGCTTTTTCTCCCGCTTGCTGGCGGTTCTTTGATGGATTTAGATATTTTTCGGCTATTTATCTATTATGTGGCTGCGAGTGTGGTTTTTTTGCTTCTACTCATTTCTGGAAAACCACCACGGTGGTGAGTGTGATTGCTCTGGTAGACCACTACCCCATGTACTGAACAGTCGTTTTGTGAGTGAAAAGTTTAATAATACCTATGAAAAGTATGAATGCCGCAGACATCACCACGCAACATGACAATTTGTTCAAGGTTTGGTTTTGTGTGTTTCCAAAATCGATTTTCACGCTCCGATCATCAGTGGAAATACGGAACTAAAGAGATCAATGGAAAAACAAAGGTTAAAAGGTTTCTGCACTGTTCATGCCCGTTTGTCACACTTACTCTTTATTTTAGTTCTCACTTTTTGGAATACTTACCACAAGTTACCCGTCATGTGTCACACTTCTTTGGATTTTTAACCTTTGTTTTTCCCTTGATCTCTTTAGGCCCGTATTTCCACTGATGATCGGAGCGTGAAAATCGATTTTGGAAACAAACAAAACCAAACCTTGAACAAATTATCATGTTGCATGGTGATGTCTGCGGCATTCATACTTTTCATAGCTATTATACGATTATAGTTTCTTTTTTTAACTCGGATGTGGAGCTAATTAAATTATTGTGAAAAGAAGAAGGACACAATTTTACGAGTTGGGGGACAGTTAGTCATAACTCGTAACATTTTGTCCTTCTTCTTTTCACAATAGTTTCTTTTCAGTGTTATTTTCACGTGCATGATCCTTAGTCACTGCCTTGCATGCAGTCTTTTCCTTTGTCACACCGGGTGTATACTTGGAAACTATTCCATTATCACGTAGCTCAACATCATTATCACCTTACTTGAATCTATACGGTACTAGAGAAACTGTGAGTGGACCTAATTGATCCACAGACTTGAACGCGGCAGTGCTAAAATAATAATAATAAGAATAATTATGTAGGTTTGCAACGGGCAAACCAAAGTTATCACGTCACAGAAGCACTCGCGGCCAGCGCCTCGCAGGCAGTCCGCAACGCCGGCTGTCATCGTCCCCAAGCGTGGGGAAAAGGGCACATGCGCAAGCGTGGGACTCCCAGCCTTGCTGGCAACAAACAGCAGCGAGACCTTTGTATGCAAACAAATTTGTTTGAGCACTTTGGCTTGCAATATCAGCAGTGTTGTGCGAATTTTCTTCAGCAGTGTTCTGCGAATTTTCTGCGCCCCTCAGTGTCGACTTGTACCTTTTGTAGCCTACCATGAGTTCGTTCTCCAACCAGCAGCAGCAGGAGATCCGCGAGCTAATTCGCTCCTCCATTCGAGAGGCCATTTCCGGAGACGACTCTGGTGAGCCGGATGCTGAGGCCGCCCGTGCTCAAGACCTGGCAGGTAGGCCTGACTTTGACGTCTCTGTACACGCACCACCACCACATGCCCACACAGCCCGTGCCCGTCCCCCTTGTATTGCACATGTGAACGAGAGAGTGGTGGAGAAAGTGCTGCGAGGGGAGTTCATCGATTTAGCACTCCTCCTGCGCCCCTCAGCAGAGCCCGCTGAACCCTCAGCCAAGCGTTTCAGGCTTGAGGACGACTCGGATGGGTCAGTTGTGCTAGCCCAAGCCGGGCAGAAAAAGCGTAGAATCGAGTCGATAGTGGCCTGGGCCGAAGCGTGGACAGTGTTGTCCATTATTGTAGGCATGCAACGCACAGACTGCCTGAACGAACTGCTGGTATACCAGCATCACATTCTGGAGGCCAGCACCAAATTCCGTTTTCAAGCGGTGATGGAGTACGACGTTCGCGTCCGACGCGCTGCGGCCAATGATGCGTCGCGCCGGTTAGACATCGTCCACCCAGACCTTTATGCCGTCTGTTTGACGGGCCAGGCCGTGACCATTTGCACCAAGTGCAAGAAACCAGGTCACCATGCTTCCGCGTGCGCGGCACAAGGTCCGCCTGCTAAGTTTGCCAGTGGGCACACACGTTTCCCGGTCTGCAAAAAGTTTAATGCAGGGCACTGCGATGTCTCTTCCTGCCGCTTTCGCCATGAATGCCTGACCTGCGCTGGGTCCCACCCCGCTAGTGCATGCAAGAAGACCACCGCATCATCCTGACTGACCGCCGCAGCCACCAGCGAGCTCTGTAAGCACTGTTCTCTGCCACTATCTTCTCACCAAATCTTTACCCCTATTAATGTAGATATCCTTAGCGAGGAGCTTGATGCACACCCCGATCGCTCATTTTCTTCTGCTGTCATTGATCATTTGCGTTTTGGCTGCAAAATTGGCTTTAAGGGCGTTAAGCATTCTACATTTAGCAAGAACCTTAGATCAGCTTATGACTATCCTGACGTTGTGGATGCTCACCTGCGAGAAGAGTGCATGTCCGGGCACACAGCAGGGCCGTTTTCATCCCCACCATGTGAACACTTCCGCACGTCAGGCCTGGGTGTTGTGCCGAAAAAATCAGGTGGGCATCGCTTAATCATGCATCTATCAGCCCCGGAAGGGTCGAGCGTTAACGATGGCATTGACAAGGATGTCTTCCCTATGCAGTACATCACAGTAGACACCATTGTGCAACATGTTCTGCAGCATGGCAAAGGAGCCCTGATGTCCAAAGTCGATATCAAGCATGCATTTCGTCTCTGTCCGGTCCACCCGTCTGATTGGCACCTATTAGGCATGCAGTGGAAGGGTCAGTTCTATGTCGACAAGGTCCTCCCATTTGGCCTGCGGTCATCCCCCTATCTGTTTAACATGCTGGCAGAGGCAGTTGCATGGATTCTCCGCACCAACTACCAGCTTACATGCCTGGAGCATTACCTTGACGACTATGTCAATGTTGCACCACCTTCATCTGCGCTCCAAGACTCTACAGCACATCACCAAATGGCCAGCATTCTGCAGGTGTTCGACAGGCTAGGGATACCAACAGCTACGGGTGCCGACAAGGTGGTATGGCCCACTACCTGTCTTTCTGTGCTCGGCATCCTGGTGGACTCCGTGAAGCTTGAAATGCGTCTACCTGAAGACAAACTCTCCGAGCTCAAGGCACTGATCAATTCCTTTCAGCAACGCGAGTCCTGCACGAAACGCGAGCTTCTCTCACTAATTGGCCATCTCTCCTTTGCTGCCAAGGTTGTGGCCGCCGGTCGCACCTTCATTCGGCGGCTTATCGACGTAAGTTGCTCCGCCGCGCGCCTGGGCGACATCATCAGTCTCGGTTCGGAAGCCAGGGCCGATTTGCAATGGTGGGCATCAATCCTTCCAGCATGGAACGGCATTGCCCTGTTTAGAGACATCAGTTGGTCCAAGTCCCCCAGCCTTCAGCTCTTCACCGACGCGTCTGGCGTCGGTTTCGGCGGGCTCTACAACGCAGCCTGGTTCTACGGCACATGGTCAGCAGACCAGTCAGACGGCCCATTTTGCAGCATTATCTGGCGGGAACTCTACCCAATTGCCATTGCGCTCTCTTTATGGGGAGAACAATGGGCGCAACGTAAGATCCTGTTCCACTGTGACAACGAGGCCGTGGGCACGGTGTGGCAAACTGGCACATGCAAAAACAAGGAAGTGATGGTGCTGATAAGACACATGCTGAAACTGTGCGCCGATTACAACATTGTTATCCTGATCAAGCACATTGCTGGCACTGACAACAATGCTGCCGATTCTCTGTCCCGCTTGCAGATGGACCGCTTCCGGACGCTAGTACCCAGCGCCAACAAACAGCCCACGCCAATAGCGCACATCTCCGTCAGACGCTACTGATCAAGGCCGGCGACCTAATTAGGGACTCAGTAGCCCCAAGTTCTGCCCGCACATACCTGCCAGGGACTAGGGCGTATCTGAAGCTGTGTACACAACTGGGATGCCAGCCAAGTAGGCCGTCGGTAAATGACTTGTTGGCATTCATCGCCCACTGCGTATCCGGCCGCAGATCTTGCGCAACCATCCGAGTATATGTGTCCGCCGTGAGGTATTACCTCCTCTGCCATGGTGGGCCGTCACACATAACTCGGCACGATCGAGTTACAGCAGCCCTGAAGGGAGCGGAGCGTCAGCAATGGCAAACCCCCACAAAGCAGCACCGACACAGTGTCAACGCCGGGCCATCACCCAATCAGACCTGCAGCAGCTCTTGGTCGTGATACAGCGCTCCCACTACTGCGAATCGGACAGGTGCATGCTCTGGGCCGCCTTCATGACAGCCTTTGCGGGATTGCTCAGAGTGAGCGAGTATACTGCCGCCTCTCCCCGCTCCGCTTCGAATGGCCGCACTCTGACCCGGGGTCAAGTCTCACTCACTGGGACTCAGATCAGCATACGACTCGGGATAACAAAGACCTCCCAATGCGGCACCGGAGGTCAAGTCATCTTGCAGCCATGGTCCGGCAGCCAGCTCTGCCCCGTCGAAGCAATGCGCAAGTACCTCGCTATCCGCCACGCAACGCCAACGACGTCACCGCTGTTCATATTCCGAAGTGGGCAATATCTCCCAGCCAAAGATGTGAACTACTGGATGGCGAGAGCCCTAGGTCCGGGTGTTAGCAGTCACTCCCTCAGGATCGGCGGGGCTACTGCAATGGCCGGAAGGAATGCCTCAGCTTGGCAGCTCCAGAAGGCTGGCCGCTGGGCTAGTGACACGTACAAAACGTACCTCCGTGTGCCGGCTGGCCTGCCTCTAGGCCAGCAATGAGCCGGCTATGCTGCCATGCGTGCATGCGCGTGCTGCTGGGCACTGTTTTGTATCAACCCTGCCCTAAACACTCTAAGCACTCTGCATCCCCTTATGTAAGAATATGACCTCTCAGCAGCTTGCCCTATTATGGATCTCTGTGCCTGCCTGGACCACATACTCAAACTCGTTAACGCATTGCGGTGCGCACTGTCACTGCTTAGCTTATCTGCACGCATGTAGCGCAGCGTTTGCTCAACCGCGGAAAGAAAGCACGAAAAGAAATATGGCTAAGAGCAGTGTGTATATGCGGGGTTGCCACTAACCACTGACTCTTCTTGGGGAAGCAAGCAAAGCCCCTCAGCTGAATGCATTTTGGAACAATTCTCTGCATGAGCTTTCAAGCACTGGCGGCACGCGCTGCCCAGCAGCAGGCCCACATGGTCCCAGCAGGACCAGCTGGTCCCAGCATAGACACATTGTGTCCAGCAGCCGGGCCAATCGGCCCCAGCATACAGCAGGACCGTCCGGTCCCAGCAGTCATTTGACTACCTGCGCACAGCCGTGCCCCACAAGGGCACAGCAGAATTAGTTAGGATCATTGGCCTTAATCTCTTGCACTGCCTGCCATCTACCAGCATTGTAACAGAATTTTCTACAACCCCGCTTTGCGGGGTCGCCTGGCATAAAATGCATTGTTGCAAACAATTCGCAAATTACAAATTCTGTTACAAAACACTTGATATGATCAAGCCGCAGCAGCTCGGCAACCCCAACTTCCACTTGCTTGATGTGCGTGTGGGTGATAAATGTAGGTTTGCAACGGGCAAACCAAAGTTATCACGTCACAGAAGCACTCGCGGCCAGCGCCTCGCAGGCAGTCCGCAACGCCGGCTGTCATCGTCCCCAAGCGTGGGGAAAAGGGCACATGCGCAAGCGTGGGACTCGCAGCCTTGCTGGCAACAAACAGCAGCGAGACCTTTGTATGCAAACAAATTTGTTTGAGCACTTTGGCTTGCAATATCAGCAGTGTTGTGCGAATTTTCTCCCGCCCACCACAACCCACTTATAAGTTCTAGCGCCTCCAGAAAGGGGGAAGCAAGCAAAGCCCCTCAGCTGAATGCATTTTGGAACAATTCTCTGCATGAGCTTTCAAGCACTGGCGGCACGCGCTGCCCAGCAGCAGGACCACATGGTCCCAGCAGGACCAGCTGGTCCCAGCATAGACACATTGTGTCCAGCAGCCGGGCCAATCGGCCCCAGCATACAGCAGGACCGTCCGGTCCCAGCAGTCATTTGACTACCTGCGCACAGCCGTGCCCCACAAGGGCACAGCAGAATTAGTTAGGATCATTGGCCTTAATCTCTTGCACTGCCTGCCATCTACCAGCATTGTAACAGAATTTTCTACAACCCCGCTTTGCGGGGTCGCCTGGCATAAAATGCATTGTTGCAAACAATTCGCAAATTACAAATTCTGTTACAAAACACTTGATATGATCCAGCCGCAGCAGCTCGGCAACCCCAACTTCCACTTGCTTGATGTGCGTGTGGGTGATAATGTGTCTTTCCCTCAAACTAACGAAGAATAAGAAGAATATGAATGATAATAATCCTTTGTTTAATTTTCTTCTAAACAAAACAATTTCCTTAGTCATTACACGTGATGTGGATGTGTTTTATATCAGCACCAAATCCGCCTCTCAACCCCGTCATCTCAAGTACTACTATCACGGTGTTTCTAGGTCAAATAGAAGAAGGCAACCTTCCCATACGCCAGTATTGTGTGCACGGAATACCTGCTAATGATCTGTCCGGGAATATGCCATTGGTACCAGTATGCAGCGCCTCGAAAAATGTCACCTTACCTGGCCTAAAACCCAACATGAGCTATAATGTCACCGCCTATGTTAGCAATGCTTATGGAGACAGTGACCAGTCCAGCTCCACTCGCATTACCACGTTGCCCACAGGTGAGGATGAATTTTGTTTTAAGCATTGCACGTGGCTTTGGATGTGGCTAGCACTTAGAAGGTCATCACACGAAGCACGGAAGCGATATGGTTTCGAATAAGCCTTTCAAACCCTTACTTTCCAAGTCTAGTACAATAGTGAATAACACAGCAACCCGGTTTGAACAAAGTTGCAAGAAAATCCTTATAACCGGCACTTTGGAGGTCAGAGCATTTAAAAAATATCACTTATGAAATTTTGGAAAGCTACCTACACTAACTTTGAAAGTGTTGCCAGACATGATAACCTCTGTGTCAAGGTTATGCGTAAAATAGAATATGGATGACTTAGCAAAACAGATTATGAGAATTGCCAAGTGTTTAGCTACATGTTGTCAGCAATCAACGCTTTCTTTCTTCACAAGGTATGTGTGGCCTTAGCAAGGGCAGTGCAAACGCACAAAAAATGAAAACAACAGACACAATCTATTTTTCGTTACACAGAAAAACGAATATCGTTTTTGGTCTCTACATTTGTCACTATATATACATCTGAACTTGTCAATATTGTTATCTGCCAATTTTATAGTGCCATCTTCAACAACACCCCCAACCTCGGGCAATGAAGCAAGCACCAGCAGGATCAGTGTTGGAGGATTCGTCGGCCTAGCTGTGGCAGGAGTCCTAACTGTAATCCTGGCTGTAGCCATGGCGGCCAACCGAAAAAGGATTTCTTGCTGGTTCTCATCGAAAGATTTTACAGGTACACAATCCACTGTCCTCCCTGTCTTGAAGCCTTTGTGTTCAATGCACGGTCGATTCTTTTGCTCAGTATAAACAGCGCTAAATCCTGCAATGCCCCCTTCACTGAAGCTAGAAAAGCTTTTGTTAAGTGAAGGATTCCTGCCCTAAGAGATCCTAAAGCATAATATTATGATAAAGGCAATCATTACAATTAGCTGAACCAACATTTATTACAGGGTGCCACAGAGTTCTTGGCCATTGAAGAAAATGTGTTGAGCCACCTCCACCATTACACTGCACTCGTTAGCTGACTAGACCCTCCTGCACACAGCCATCAACATTCCGAGGACACTTCCTTAGACGATATTGATAAACTGCTTCAGACAGCTGTTTCGCTAAAACATAGCTCATCCGTGAAGGTAGATGTTGATTGATTTCAATATAGACCAAACTGATATTATAATTATAAGGTTCCCACATACAAAACTGGCATAGCTTAGGTGATAACGCGGGAAAGTGTGAAGCACTGTTGACGCGCATGGGACATGCATGCAGCGTTAGAAATTCGGCGCGGAAAATCAATCACTATGACTATCAGTCCAGAAATAACGTGCCAGAATCAGTGTACTGCGTAGCTAGTGAGAGTCTGAGTATCGCACTTGTCCGAGTGCCGTGGAGGCCGGCAAACGCCCCTCGCGTCAGAGCAATAAGAGGGACAAGACGAGTCAAGGGACATTCCGCAGGACGCAATACCATACGACCAACTGTTTTTTTCTACCAGCGTTATTGTACTGTCCACACACATCTGACGACGATATACTGGGCGAATGCCGCGGGGCCTCACAGCGTGTCAGCGGCATTGGGTGATGGGCAGATAACAAGGCAGCTTGTGGACAACATTGGTGGCATGAATACTAATGAGTGCCAAGCGTTTTGGCGCGACGGGCGACCAGTACAGTGCTTCAGGGGCTGCTGTGGCTGTCGACGTGGGCGAGTCGTGTGGTGTGTTTGCCGGCCTTCATGGCGCTCGGACAAGAGCCATACACAGACTCTCACTAGCTACGCAGTAAACTGATTCTGGCACGTTGTTTCTGCATTGATAGTCATAATGATTGATTTTCCGTGCCGAATTTCTAACGCTGCATGCATGTCCCATGCGCGTCAACAAAACTTCACACTTTCGCGCGTTATCACCTCAGTTATGCCAGTTTTGTATGTGGAAACCTTTTATAATAGCAGTTTGGTCTACACTTTACTCAATCAACATCACTGATGAGCTATGTATTAGCGAAACAGCTGTCTGAAGGAGTTTATCAATATCATGTACGGAAGTGTCCTCGCAATGGTGATGGTTGTGTGCAGGAGCGTCTAGTCCGCTAAGGAGCGCAGTGTAATGTTGGAGGTCACTCAACATGAACCGACATTTGTGTACGATATTCATGCAATGTAAAAACAGTATAGTCGATGTGCAATAAAACGATGAAAATAAGAAGAAATGGTGTACATCGTCTCCACTGGTTTACCATTGCATGAATAAAGTACACAAATGTGGGTCTAGCTAATTTTATTGATTGCGGTTATCAAATTATTGTCCCCTCACCGTTTGCATAACATTATATTAATTTTAATGGGGATCGTATGGAGATAAAAATGCAGCTCTCTATCTTTGTTTCCTTATTTCTATGCCTTCGTCTGCCTCTCAGAAGTTTTCTGACCTTTTGCTCTTTCAGTCTATACCTCTTTCTGTCCGTCTTCCCTTCTCTTTCGCTCTTCATCTGTCACTTACCATTTCTCTCTGTCGGTCTCTTTGTCCCTCTAAACCTCTTTCTCTTTCCCTGCCTGTTCGTCTCTCGGTATGTCTCCCGATCTCTCTCCCTCTCCGCTCTTCTAAACGTCAACCAATGTGGTCATGTTAGCAGCATGAATTTCGCCGAGGGAATGATTTTCGAAGTAATGTGAATTCTGTGCTTTAACGCTACATGAAATGCTGGGTATATATGTTGGACTCAGTAGAGCGTCCAGCCCCTATATGATGTCCAACCCCTATTATAGAGTCCATTGGTCCAAAATCCACTGTACAGAGTCCAAACTTGGAATCAACTGTGAGCTCAAAGTTTAGATGGACATCACTCCCTGTATAGAGTCCAGCCAATTGGCTTCACCCCTATATAGAGTCCATTAGTCCAAAATCAACTGTACGGAGTCCAAACTTTGAAATCAACTATAAAGAGTCCTTATGTGGACAACACTCCCTGTATAAAGTCCAGCCAATTAGGCATCCCCTATCCAGAGTTCGAAATTAGACATAGGATCTGCTGTAAGCAGCGAATATTAACCAGAAAACGGCCTCTCCCTTTAATCCTTTACATCATTCACTTCTCAAGATAAAAAATAAGTATTGAGGCACCACTGCAGCCACTTCATTACATGAAAAACCCTACAAACACAATCCTCAAATCAAGTGGTCTCTTCGCAGACGCTGCAAATTACAATATCTCAATTATGTAGTGTTGCCAAAGTATTGTGCACGCACACACACACATGCACACAACGCCAAGAAAATATCTAGAAAAAAGACCAAGAATTGAAAGAGAATAATGGAGAGCCAAGCCATTTGTTTTCAAATTATTGTGCGCGCGCACACACACACACACACACAGACTTATACAACGCCAAGAAAACACCAAGAAAAGAGTAGAGACACAATACACACGCAACTCCAACAGCCATGCAAACGTCCACCTATTTACACGTAAGGTCAAGAGGGATAACAAATAAGTATACGAAACGAATGCATACGTGGGCGGATGCACACACGTTTACATACATGTAGTAGTGTAAGAGAGTAACATAGTGCAGTGGTCAGCATAATACTAGCACAGGCTGAGAGTGCAATAGCAAGCTTCACCATTGCTCATGGCCATGCAAATGTTCAGCAGCACTCAGTTCCGCAAGCTTCTGAAGATCAGCACACCTGCAACAAAGAGATAGCACAAGGATACGCTTATTACCGTAATGATGCATGGGAGCACACAACTACCAAGTTCTCAACAAATGTGATGCTCAATGAAAATCCATCCACTCAAAGACCTGTGAACAGGTGACGGTGGGGACAATAATCTATTAGTAATACGAGGAATAAGGTCGTTTGTGCACACTCAAGACGCACAGACACACCACCATACATGTAGTGTACACAGTGTTTCACTTCACTCTAACTAAATTGAAAGGAGATGATTTGAACAATCTGTACAGCGTTGCAGTCAGTCAGTCTTCCCCAAGATGTAAATGCAATGATTTGTTGTCACGAGGCAGTTTCACTGACACAATGTCATGTTTGTTACATCAAAACGGTTACTTCATGGAATACGAGTACATGTATTAGCTTGAAAAGCTTTTTCTTGTCATCGGCATACAAGAAATCCTCCTCCTACTACTACTACTACTACTACTACTGGTTGATAAATATGGTGGTAAAGACACACCTGGCAATATGGCGGTAAACACACGCCTGCCCACACACGCTCTCTAGGCTGCAAAGTTCTGGCACAGAGCTCTCCTTCGCACCACCACCACCATCAGTTCGCGCCTGGCGCCTGGTCGATGCATGGCTGGCGGTATCCGGCATAGCAGGCTGGTGCATCAAGTAGCGCATGGCACATAGATGATGACACAGACACGACATAGCTCGATTGCGACGTACGTTTAGTCCCCGCTGGACTCATCAGGCAATCTTCTTCTTGGATGCCTTCATACGGAGCTTGACTCGGGAGAATGAAGTTGAAGACACCACTGCAGCTGTACTTATGGTTGATCAATATGGTGGTAAAGACACACCTGGCAATATGGCGGTAAACACACGCCTGCCCACACACGCTCTCTAGGCTGCAAAGTTCTGGCACAGAGCTCTCCTTCGCACCACCACCACCATCAGTTCGCGCCTGGCGCCTGGTCGATGCATGGCTGGCGGTATCCGGCATAGCAGGCTGGTGCATCAAGTAGCGCATGGCACATAGATGATGACACAGCAACGACATAGCTCGATTGCGACGTACGTTTCGTCCCCGCTGGACTCATCAGGCAATCTTCTTCTTGGATGTCTTCATACGGAGCTTGACTCGGGAGAATGAAGTTGAAGACACCACTGCAGCTGTACTTATGGTTGATAAATATGGTGGTAAAGACACACCTGGCAATATGGCGGTAAACACACGCCTGCCCACACACGCTCTCTAGGCTGCAAAGTTCTGGCGCAGAGCTCTCCTTCGCACCACCACCACCACCATCAGTTCGCGCCTGGCGCCTGGTCGATGCATGGCTGGCGGTATCCGGCATAGCAGGCTGGTGCATCAAGTAGCGCATGGCACATAGATGATGACACAGCAACGACATAGCTCGATTGCGACGTACGTTTCGTCCCCGCTGGACTCATCAGGCAATCTTCTTCTTGGATGTCTTCATACGGAGCTTGACTCGGGAAAATGAAGTTGAAGACACCACTGCAGCTGTACTTATGGTTGATAAATATGGTGGTAAAAATGAGTCCAGCGGGGACGAAACGTACGTTGCAATCGAGCTATGTCGTTGCTGTGTCATCATCTATGTGCCATGCGCTACTTGATGCACCAGCCTGCTATGCCGGATACCGCCAGCCGTGCATCGACCAGGCGCCAGGCGCGAACTGATGGTGGTGGTGGTGCGAAGGAGAGCTCTGTGCCAGAACTTTGCAGCCTAGAGAGCGTGTGTGGGCAGGCGTGTGTTTACCGCCATATTGCCAAGTGTGTCTTTACCACCATATTTATCAACCATAAGTACAGCTGCAGTGGTGTCTTCAACTTCATACTATTACTACTACTACTACTACTACTACTACTACTACTACTACTACTACTACTACTAGTACACTGGCACTGCGTAGTTGGATCCCATTGTATTTGACATCATACTAGAGCCTGGTAGAGGAAGAGTGTCGTGGAGTTTACATAATTATCACAGGGATAAAAATACATTTCTCATGAAATAAAATAATAATTGATGATAGCTGACGATCGCATACGATTGATGCAAAGTCCTTGCAGTCCTTGAGGATTATTACGAAGTGGTTGATTACTTTTAGGCGGCATTCATCCAAGCAACATCAAACAAACGCGATACGCTCCTTGAAAATGGAAACAAATCCAAGCATAACGACAGAACAGCAGACCAATCGAAACGAGTAAAAGCTTCCTTACCTCAGTCATCGTCCTGCCATGTAGTTGGACAGCCTTTTGACACGGTGGTACAGGCAGCTCTTGTCCAGTCGAACAGGGTATCCTTGTGGCGTCGAACGAAAGAGAGTGTCAGTGTATCTGACCGTCGTCAGATTGGAACTGTGCTGGACTTTTCTCGTTCTCCGCTTTCTGCTTTCATCCCTCGCTCTGATGAAACCGTTCAAACGTCTTCAACTGGCAGCAATGGCCAGCCAAACAGGGGATCTTTGTGGCGTCGAACGAAAGAGAGTGTCAGTGTACCTGACTCGTCAGATTTGAACTGTGCTGAACTTTTCTCGTTCTGCAATTTCTGCTTTCATCCCGCGCACTGATGAAACGTCTTCAGAGAACCACAATACGCTTTCCAGATTTGATTTTGAACGTCTCCTTATCCTCCTTGGTTACCTCGAGACAGATTACTGTCAGCAACGGCACAGCAGAACTGACAGCCATGGCTGAAGTGAAGAAAGGAATGCGCTGCCACGAGGCAAGCAAAACTGAAAAGGTGTTTGTTCTCTTTCGGGCACAACACACAGTACAGGACGGCGTGACTGGATAAACTGGACTCCTGGACCGTGAATCGGGCCTTTCGGGGACTTGTAGAAAAAGTGTACTCCCGGGGATTGCGCGGCAGGATGAAGCTGATCAAAACTGAGTGGACTCCTGGACTCTGTATAGTGGATTTTGGACCAATGGACTCTATATAGGGTGCTGAACATCATATAGTGCATGGACTCTATACTGAGTCCTACATATATTCACAAGTCAATGTCGAATATCAATTATCAATCTCGACAGGGAATTTACCATTACATGCGATGTTTTCTTGTGTGTTCCGCTCTCCTTCTAATCATCAGTTCCAGAAGAGAGGCCACAGGTGAGTGCAGCGAGAAACACGTTGACATTATGCACCTTATCTGTCCTCATTAATCTGTTTTGGTCTAAATATCACACAGTATCGCCTATTGAGTACTATGCACAAGAAAATCCACGTACGCCTTGCGAGCAATGTAGCGGTAGCATCTTCTCTATGGCGTTGTCTTTTCTTACGTCTTCTCCTTGACTGTGCACCTCAAAGTTAAATGATTTTTGAAAAACTAGCACTGTCGCAAAAGCGAAAAATGCTGGCCAACCACGACCTCCTTTGTATTTCGGAGAAAAACCATCGAACAGTTTAGAATTACTTAGGTAGAGTATAGGTAACTCTTTACTGGCCAAGAAAGCGCCAAAGGAAGCTGCGATGCACCCCTGAGTCAAGTGACCTGATCCATTTGAAACTCTGCGTCGCAACATAGCTTCGTACCCCGCGATTGTGTGGACGACTGCGTTCTTGATCACATTTCAGTTTTTCGACAATGCCTCCTCCAAGTAGTTAGTTCTTGAGAAACCTTTCGACCTCCTTATATCGCATGAAGGGGAATCTGTGGAGCCCTAGGTAGCCTAGCGACATAATATTCTACAGAAACACAAGTAAAGTGTTAACTCTCACCAGAATATACTCTAGCGGTTTCGTACCCTTCCCGCACAGGAAGCTGATCCAATTGAACTTAACCAGTACGAGGATGTTCAACGCAATGATGAAGGAGAAGCCCACAGGCCGCAAGATCACGATGAACAGGTACGGAGAAGTAGGAACAAAAATAATTTTTGGAAAGTATAATTATATTTAAGACATTTATTCAAGTGTAATCTCCATTAAACATAGCCTTGAATGAAGGATTGACATGAAGAGGAGAGAATGAATTAGCGAGATTACATACAGAAAAATGAGTAGATTGCTGACTCTCAAGCACATAATGAACGCATTTCAAAACTAGTATCTCGTTTTACTGGTCAGTTCAAGCCCATTTTGCACGAGGAGATGGCTTTCAACAGCTTCAAATGTTGAATGACGAGTATTTTAGCGTGGGTCCAGCTTGGCGAATGGGGCCTCTAATTTTGCAATCTTCTGTTCAGGCTGTTTCACAGGAGTATTCCTACGCTGCAGTTGGTTCTCGTATTAGAGACGAGAAACCTGCAGAAGCAGACACTGACATGACAGGAACAGAACACAGCCACGACAAGGAGACAGAGGCGACAGCGGTAAGACCTGTGGAGGAGAAGTGATGATAATTCTTTTGTTTTAGACTTGGATCTGGCATTAATTTTCTTTTTTGTCCGTATAACTGAACGGGAATTCCGCTCAGTTGGTGACAGCTTTCTTCCGTGCTCATTCTACAGTTGAGCACATTGAAATCGGACACAATGTGTGCACAACCAGCGCCTTACACCAGATCTGACAACATCATTGCACTTCTACATGTGAGAGTCCTGAAATCCACACTATAATCGTGGCATTTCATCGACGTCAGGGGCCGCGCGAATCTAGGGTGTGAAGTATGCTCTTTGAATCTGATTTCACCGAGAATTAAGGGATTGTGAAAGATAGCTGCTTTTCTAAGAGAAGGAGACCACACGTCACACAATCATCATTGTAACTACAACGACAATCACTATTTTCCACAAGATAGTTATCAACAGCAGACACATACACCGTGACAGCACTACCAGGCTCAGTACATGAGTTCGAGTTTCGAGACAATGGAACTGACTTGTTAGTTCGTCACCTTCTTGCCGATATTGGAGATACTTGGTCTCTTTCATGGAAAAAAAGATGAAGTTCGCGCAACTGTGCGGCCCTCCACATTCTTGGCACTGATGTCCTCCTCCAGAGTTTGGCAGCAAGGAAATTGGTCGCCGCCCTCAGCTATATATAAAAGCTGATATGTCTGGCAGGGCCACCGCAACTAACGTCGCTGGTTCCCCCACTGCTTCCTCCACGAACATGTCCTCGAACTCGGTCCGACCACTCGGTGCGCCAGGAGTCTCAACTACAGAACGTCCTCCCGTCTTCCTCTCCTGAATACGTGTGATGCTGCTTCCCCTACAGCATCATTGACGAATAGAACAACTTGCCCCCAACTGAGCTGCAGTCTCCTCCACGCCTGTCGTCCCTCCAGTTGTTCAAGGGCAAGGTGTATCAGCACCTACGACAAAGCCGCTGGTATCGGGCTACAGACTCGCTGGCACACCCCATACTACAGACTCACTGTAACACCCCATGCTAGTCCCGCATCACGGGCACAGGCTCCCTGAGAGCCCCTACTAGTACATTGTCTGTCGTTCTCCTTTGTTGTCTCGATCATTATTCTCTTTTGTCTTCTTCTTCTCCTCTCTTTGTAAAGTCTATCACGAGGAGGTGCATTCTGTGAAAAAAAACAACAGTGCTATAACCGGCTTGCGGCTGGGTTGAGAAACATAACCAGGTCAGAGAGGTGTTGCTTGTTCCAGGCCACCACCGTGCATGATTTTACCAAGGTGGCAGATGCAGGGCGATAAATGCCGAAGGTGAGGTGGTAAAAATCGTCACCAATGTTCGCTAACCCCCCCCCCCCCCCCCACCACCACCACCCTTCGCTATCATATTATTGGGAAACGATCCCGTTCGACTTTGCGAAGTAAAATAAAGAACACATACATAACAGGGGCGAACCTCGTTAGCTGAGTCAATGTTAACTTTACTCAGAACAGTGTCTGGTTTACGCAGTCAAAGACATTTGCGTGTTATGAAATCTATCTTCATGTTTACAACCAAACCAGACTTCCACAAACAGAAAAGGTTTTTACACTGGACACCGAATTGTTCTGTAAATCCGGCCCAGTTATCCTCTCCTTCTTGTTACAAAAGTTACTTTCTGGCTGAGAATGTATCTCATAATATACTCATTGTCACAGGATATTTTTGATTTGTATTATGACTGTCAGCGCTCATTAGTGTTGCTTATGGCGCTTGTACTGGGTGCGCCCTATTCATTCTGTAATAACATTCCTATACTATCCTACGGAAGCCATTTGACGACTTATGTGGTTCTATAATTACTTCATGAAATCTAAAAATTTGGCCTTCTCATGCCCAGCATCAATTACCGCCCGGAACAATTTCTTAACCAGATTTCGAGCATCTCTTCAATCAGAATTGCACGAAAACTGGTTTCGGAGTCCTCCTTGCCTCCAATTCAAATCGGCAGGAAAACCGCGAGCTCAGATGCAGGATCAACAAACATTTTCCCAAGTATCGCCGAAGTCGCAACAATCTCTTCTTCATATTGTTTTCCCGAGTGCGGGCTTGCGAATTAGATGGTTTGGAGGCAACAACGTTGATCAGCACCTCCATGACCGACACTGACTCGCGCTGCTATCTGGTATTCACGAGGTGTTTGCCGCGCTGGAAACGGAGCATATGCGTAAGTTCGTATCCCTGGTGATGTTTGTGCCTGGATAGCACTAGTGGTGCTCTTCTGGCACAATCTTTCACCACAATCTTCATCAGCCCACTCAAGCTGAAACACGAGTGGTGCTTTCTAGCAGGTATGCTGAGTGAGCGGTTCGATGGACTTCGTATGCTCTGGATGGCAGTCGTGAGTCCGCCACGTGTGAATTCAAGCTCGGGAAGAAAACTGCGAGCTCCCATGTAGGAAGCAACACACAATTCTACAAAGAAGATTAAGAAGATAACAGAGAACAAATGGGCTGGGGTTTGCAGGCCCCTCATGGATGATGGCACAGTGTCTCACTTTATTGGTGATTTCATGCCCATATACATGAGTGGATGGCTTCCAGCACTGTCCCGCTTTGAATAAACAGCAACCTTATGCGATTGTAACCTGGAATATATTACTAGTATTATGGCCTCTTTTCATTCTTCTTCACAGGCATCGGGAGCGAGTGCACTGGAGTATACCTATGCCACGCCTAATAGTCGTAAAAGAGACGTGAACCATGCAGAGTTGGACACAGACGCAAAGGGAGCGGAACACAGCGACAACAGCGAGGAACCAGCGACAGAGGTAAGAAGCTTTCATAACTAATGATGCCTGTTAATTTCAGACGTTGATCCGGTATTTGTCTTTTGGGGTGTAGTTTAGAACCTGTCTCTAGCTTAGCAATTTCAGGCAGTGTTTTATATCTCTAAGGTTGCATTCACTGAAATCGCACTCAATGTGCAGAACATGCGCTATAAACCAGTTCTGATCTCATCACAGTACTTCTGCACGTGTGGGTGCAGCCGTCCAGCATAAATGGGCTGTGCAGGTCGAGGGCGCCAAATATGTCAAAAAGCAATATTAATTTGACAGTAATAAGGATTTATCATGCATCTATGTATACCGCTCTCCACTCTGGCATATAGGATTTTCTTTCCATTCCCCTTCCAACCTCCCCTTCCCCTCGCCCTTCCCTCCTCCCCTAGACAGACTCTGATTTCACTACATTTCATTAGGTTGTTCTACGACTCATATCCTTGCTATTGTCTTAGCTTTTCTTTGCCCTTATCTGTTGGACCAGTCCAAGATTGGCTGTGAGAACGTGTTGGGCGGGTTTTTGTCACCGACTGATGTTGAAACCATTGAAATCAAGTATGCGGTTCTGGATCGATCCGAAATGAATCCAACTTCGCAGTTAACAAGAAACCAAGATCCCAAGGTGGGTATTGACTATTCCTTGTCAGTTACAGAAGTAGAGAATAACTGGTGTGGCAAACCGACGCAATGGCTAAGCATAAACGCAGTGTGGGGCCATATTGGTGGATTTTTGTCTTGTCAAATGTAGTAAACGGCATTTATGTGCCTCTGCCTTTCCTTTTATTCCATACGTAATTATTGCCTTTCACCCCCCCCCCCCCCGCTTGATGATCTACGAAGCCGGGGACCATCTAGACTTACATCCGGGAAGGAAATAAAACGTTTGTCCGTTTGTTTACCTTTTAAATTTACTTCATGAAGTTTAGGGAATGAACGATGAGGAACAGAAAGGCGTGTTGCGACTTTGAACTTTTCTGACTGAGGTGACTACCCAATACAAACGCTATAGGAAGGTCGGTAGCTTCTCACACAGCGTCGGGCTGTGAGTATGGCCCATCTTGAGAATCATGGTCCTAAACCTTAGTAATTACACCCTACACTTGTCTCTGGCAGATATTCGCAATATCAGGTTTCCTGAATAATATGTAAGTGATAACGAAAGAGATACAGAAGTATCGAATTTGTCCACCTATTTTTTTGTATTGTCATGGCGTTTCGAAAGGGTTCCACGCAGGATTTTACAATCATATCAATCGTTACCCCCCCCCTCCCCCCCCCCCCGCCCCCACCATCTCTCTCTTTCTCTGCAACAGTTTGTATTTCAGTTGACCATTGAAGATGATTGCCGAGCCTTTCGTGTTACGTCATGGATTCTCCCTATCGTGTACATCAGTCAAACTACGCTACTTTGATTTGAAACCTGCATTCGTTTATTCCCCCCCCCCCCCCAGGATGAAGAAGAGCGTGAGGATACGTCATATGCGACAATCTGCAACCCAACCTATGATGTTGCAGGAGATCCCCCATCAGTGAGTTCATTGCTTGATGATAAGATCACATACTGTTGGATCTAAATGTAGCAAATAGTTCTTCTTAACGTAGCTATGCAAAAGACATTGCGTGTGGTGCTAGCCAGAGTCCACACAGCTCTATTTTTGTAATTGTTTATTGCATCGTCGGCCATGCCCGGCGCTATCCCGCAAGTTTCCCGTACCATACCATTTAACTTATTAAAAAGGGCTTTCAACTGAAAGATGATAACGTGAAGCAACTTGCAGGAATTTGTATGTAAGCGAACAAAATTACATAACTCCCCAAGAGTGTGCAACTCCCAAATACTCTGCTGTCTTATCAAAATTTCAAGTTGTTGAAGTCATTATTATATATTATTTATGATGCAATGCTACTTGCACTAGTGATGTACAATATTTGTAAGGGTGTCAACGCATCACAGATTTGTCTTTGTAATAATTTGCACCGGATCAGATGGGTTTTGGTCCACCAAAGGTTCCGGATTCTTCTGATAATCCGTGTAAAGTGCGCATTGCATCATTAAAATGACGTCAACTTGAAATTCTGTTGGGACAACACCTAGTAGTAGTACTAGTATTTATTACAAGTATTTGACAAGGGAGTCCAAACAGGCATAGCCTTGGTACAGGGAATCCTAGGTGAATCTTTGTGAGGTGAGCAAAAGTACCAGCAGATTGTGCCTGACGACAGTTTGGAGGAAGAGATCTCCACCGACCTGCCGCCAGAAACCCATAATCGAGTTACACACTCTTGGGAGTTATGTACTCTTGGATCGAAGTGTATTGGGGATGTTATGAAACCACAAATTCTCAAGAGTGACATTGTGTTCGTTTCAATGCAGTTGTATCTCGACTGCGCTGTACCGCTGAAGTTGACGACGTGGTATACGCTACATGCGCTATGTGCGATTTGCTATGTGCGCTGTTGTTGTATGTTGTATGTGTATGCTTTCTCATACGCACTGTCATTTTCACGCTATAACTACCTGAACATGGTGGTTTTAGTGTTAGTTATTGCTCGGTCAAGCGAAATATATCGTTGACGAGTAAATAGTTGACCTCGTGCCGTATGGTCGTTCGTCCCTGACACTTTAAGAGAATCAGAAGGATTTAGAATATGTGGCGACTACGCCAGGATCGAAGTGAGCATGGCAGACGGACTGCATAATTTGGAAGCGAGCTTTATCGACAACGGAATTCGGCATGGATTTGAAGGCGATATGCTGATGGAGTACACGGAGAAGAGGCTCCAACAGTGCGAGGAGCTTGAAGAGCGCCGTGCCAAACGGCAAGAGGGTGCGCTAGGAATAGAGTTTAACGGAGAGCTCAAGAAGATGAACGAGCGCATCGCCAGTGTGTATGAAGGTAATGGTGACGCCGCGCGTGTGAGGTTGATGGGAGGTACAGTGGAAGCTACCCGTCACAGCGGTGGGCGTAGGCCTTTAATGCAAGTCCCGCACACGACGGAAGGCAGCCACTGGAGCATTATCTCGACCTGTTCGAATACATCTTTGTCAAGAACGAGCTCGACGAAAACGAATGGCTGCTGCGATTGCGTATCGCGCTAACGGGAAGCACGGTGAAAAGGAACTGTATTGGCTGCAGTGCCTATGCGGAAGCAAACCGAGATTTGCTTGCCTCGCTCGGAAGGACACCAGACAAGGCGTGGAAGACTTCACTTATAGACAAGCAGCGGTCAGAGGAGTATTTGAAGCTAGTTAAGGCAAAATAATCAGTACAGGATTTTGCCCGGAAACAATTGACCACACCATCCGTAAGTTGCGTTTCGCCTACGGTACCACCGTGACTGAACGTGGTGGTGATAATCCCTCTTCATAATCATGTTGTCTATGTCTTCCTTCAACTTGGGTGCTACCCCATTTTCAGATCAGAATCCGACCTATCGCTGAAAATTGTGAATTGTCGCTCTCTCGTCAATAAATTTACTGAACTTTCGATTGTTCTGGAGAGCACTAAGCCGAGTATTGTTTGCCTCACGGTGACCTGGCTGTGCCCATCTATTTTCGTGCATGTACTAGGCTATGCCTGTTTCAGAAGAGACAGACCAGCACACGACAACAGAAATGCACACTCTTTCACTAGAGGATATGGTGGTCTCGCCCTGCTTGTCAGGACTGATGCTTTTCAACATGATCACACAGACCCGACCTGTAGCGTCAGGCCTGTGAATCTGCCTGGGTGGAAGTTAAGTCTCAATGCCCCTAACCATATTCTTGTATGTTGCATGTATCTACCCCCTTCCCAAACGGTGGGACAATTGTCCTTCTTCTCGGATATGCTGGTCGTCGCTATACAGTCCTTTTGCTATGACGAGTGTGACTTCTTGCTGACGGAGGGTTTTAATGCAAAACACAATGATTGGTGCTCTTCTGACTCCATCTCTACAGTCGGTACCAACATACCAACGTACCAACATACAGACAGTTTTTTCCATGTTTGGGCTCCAACAACTAATGAATTTCCCAACATACACTCCATCAGTGGGTGCCAACTCGTGTCTTGACTTGATGGTAACCAAAAAAAACCGACATGTCCGCTCAGTTGATCATGCAGCACCTCTTCGCACATCTGATCACCTGCAGGTTGTTTGTACGCTCAACTATGCATCGTGCTCGACACCACAAGCGACGGCTAAATCGTCACTCCATCCCCGGGCTCAGTACAGGTATAAACAAATGCCTACAAGTGTCTGTCAGGTTGTGAATGAAGACTTGTTTAGATCGGACTGGTCATTACCTCATCGGCATTCCGATGTTGATGATGCCATTGTCCTGTTTGATGCTTTACTACCGCCAGCAATCCGTCGTCATCTGTTGCCTTACAAAGTTATTCCGCGGACCGGCTCTACAATAGGCCTCATCCTACTATGCGGAATGCATCCGACCCTGGATCACTGCAGACCTCAAGTGCGCTGTGAAACTGAAGCGAGATTTGTCATTAATAGGAAGTATCAAACCAATGAAAACTTCATTGCCTTTAAGCGCAAGCGTAACGAAGTGAAATGTTTGTCACGTACCCTCCATCGTCAGTATGTACAGTTGGTTCATGCGACCCTGTCTTCCCATGATTGCCCTAGTCTCCATCAAATTCACCGTCATCTCCGTAAGAATTGTAGTCGGTAGCCGATCCGATCAATGACAGCTGCAGACGGCACCGCAGCAACAGATCCTGCAGACATAGCAGACATTTACTACAGTTATTATAATATAGCTGGCTGGTGACTGACGCATTTGGCCTCACCCACAAGCTGGGAGAGCTGCAGCAAGCACTGCTCAACGATAACGTCGACATAGCGGTTATCACAGAAGCGAAGTTTTCGGCGCAGACTGTAGCCTCTGAGGCGATATTTCCAGGCTATGAGATTGTGTCTAATAATAATAAACCCTAGCGACAGCTGCAGTGCCTAACGATGGGGGTTAGTGGATAAGTCCCACAACCACTGGCACAAGTGCCGAGAAAGTTCCCATTATCCGCATCTATGTACCCCTTGTGCCTTGCCGTAAGTTCCCAGTTGACTGTGGGGTGCAGCACGGCTGAAAAAAACCCACTCCATTGCAGGACTTGAACCAGGTGCCTCTCGTACCTCAATCATGGTCTTTGATCAACCCACTGTGCCTGCCTGGTTTCTGCATGTATTACCTCATAACTAGTCTGATCGTAGGGGCACCATGTGAGTCAAAAGGCAGCCCAAATGAACAGCAGAAAAAAATAAAAATAATGCAAAACTATATAACTAAGCTGATACACAAGCTGCCTGTAAATACCACTATGAGCAGCGACGAGAGAAAGAGAATTGTACTATTCATTAGTCAAATCTTTATTGTTGGTGATTCAATTGTCAAGAGGCCGACCACGGGGTCTTGATACAGGGAACATTCCTTCCAAGAAATGGCGGGGCTAGCCATCGTGATGCCTTGTCCCATGTCCAACCACTTCAACATGATTCTCTTAACGGTAGAATCAAGGCATGGGAACGGACCAATAGTGGTTTTGACTTCCTACAATCCTTATTCATTAGTGCGATGCAATGATGGTAGTATTTAATGTGAAGCAGCTTACGCACATACCTTATTTAACTCAAAGCTCTAAGTTCATGCATTATGTAGATACCTTGTTAGAGGTCATCCGTAAATATATGGCCTCATTCCCTCTGTGTCGCGCTGACGAGTCCACAAAGGACGAAACAGTTCTGTCTGCAGATTGAGTATTTCGCTCCTGCTCTTGTAGCAGTTGAGCACTCTTGCGTGGGGTAGTGCCTTTGCTGTTTGCAGCATGCTGTTTCGTTCTTTTTGAACTCATCAGGGCAGCACAGAGAAATGAGGCCGAACCTGATAGCAATGGAAATAAAAAAAATTTGCTGATGAGTTCAAAAAGAACGAAACAGCATGCTGTCCGCAGATTGAGTATTTCGCTCCTGCTCTTGTGGCAGTTGAGCACTCTTGCGTGGGGTAGTGCCTTTGCTGTTTGCGTTTTGCAGAGCTCACTGACTTGTCAGTTTGAGCACTCTGGCAAGGTACGTTCGGGCCTGATTGGAAATTTTTATTTCCATTGCTATCAGATTCGGCCTCATTTCTCTGTGCCGCGCTGATGAGTTCAAAAAGAACGAAACAGCATGCTGTCCGCAGATTGAGTATTTCGCTCCTGCTCTTGTAGCAGTTGAGCCCTCTTGCGTGGGTTAGTAGGTACGTTCGGGCCTGATTGGAAATTTATATATATATATATATACCCAATGCTGTAGACAGCAAGCTGTTTCGGCCATAAAGGCCTCATCAGTACAGCTACGAGCTAAATAGGCCGAGCTACCAGCCATGGTGCAAAGGAGGCACCACAGACATTAAGGTAGCTCGTCGCTCTAGCGCCAGAGTGCTCAAACTACAAAATGTAGCGAGCATTGCGTCGTTTCTAATATATATATATATATATATATATATATATATATTAGAAACGAAAACTAGGGGAAAAATATCCATGTACATTTTGCAAGCATGAGCATGTCCAAACAAAGACCAAAAATTGATATCGAAACTATGTACAATTTGAATGTGTTCGTTTCTCAGTGAGGGGGAGGTGGGGTGAAGAGAAACGACTAGTTTTCGTTTCTAAATAAATATCGGTATTTAAGGAAGGCCCCTTACTGCAGTCACGCATTCAAACAGAAAGAAAGGAGCTGCTATTGCGATTCTGTTTCTCCTGATGATGTCAACTCTATGATCTATGTGTTGCAGAACACTGCTGACGGAATCAAAGCAGAACACACCTATGATGCCCCCGACAACCATGGTGTTGTTCGTGACAGAAAGCAAGGTTGACGTATCACCGCTTTCGACATGATTTCGAGTCAGGACCATTAGTTCATTGCCACCTGTGATCAACTCACTTGCATGTTTCAATCTCTCCCTACCACCACTCTCTTTTTTCTCTTTATTTTCTCCCCAACCATCCGTCCCTGTAACCTAATGACATCTTTGCTGCCTTGCAATTGAGCATTTGTGCTCGTTTGGATTAGCGAATTCAAATAAAGTATAAAAACAAATAAACAAACGACTATTGCCCCCCCCCCACCACCACGCCCCAATCACTGAATGACGTGTAAATCTACCCCGTGCAGCGGTATAACATTTTTTGGAGAAAACCTCTATTCATGTATCAGTGTAGATGAAGTTTTTCTGGAATGGCATATCAAAGCGAGTTGTTATACGATTCAAAAACACTGTTTAGGAGCCTTGCATTGTTCATACTTTGATTGAATATAAACTTTGCATTATTGTTAGTTTTGTTTATCAGTTCACAGCCTTAACCAGAAGATAGGTCTAGCTTTTGTCAGGGTGTGTGACATGATGCTTGCAGATGATCATGTTTTAGCAGCACAGGATTCTCTTTGTTCTGTATTGATAGAAACCGATCTGTTCCCGAAGCTTAGCCATACACATGTCAGGTACTTGGCCTGGCAGTTTGTTGTAACCTTTTTTTTTGGTGAGCTTTCTCTGTATGCTACTGAGGCTCGGACTGGTGATCGGATTAGCATGTTTGCACTGCTCTGGACTAAATGCCTTGTCGCTTTGTTCAAACTCTCATGCTTTATAATACTGTAGAAAAAATACTGCCTCTCGCAGCTTCATTACACATAAAACAATTGCTGATAGGCAACTCACCGAAACTCAATCCAGTAGTTATTTGAACGCATCATTTCCATTTGCTATCGCTATACAGTCTGTTTACAAATTATTATTAGCCTTCGGTCACACTGAAACAAGCACTGCATTCCAACACGCATTGCAGCAGTTGTTTCGGCGCCTCGTGTAGGTTTGGTATATCTATGCCGTCTTTGCACAAGCGTTTCGGAGATAGCAACTTTAATACTGCAAACAAGAGGACAGACTGTGAGGTACCCAGTATTGATGCAGGATGCAAAACTAAACGACATGTTACACTCGGGTGGAGAGCCAATGATTAATTGATATGTTAATGGACGTTACAGCGTAACTTGTAGTTCCTTGGTCCTCATTTCTTCTTATAAAGTACATGTTAGAGAGATAAAATGTTAATGTACAAAAGTAAAAGGAGGAAATGTTCGGAACGGTTTTCCAGCTACGTTCATCAGTGAACGTACATTGAGTGAAATGCGAAATGAACAATAATAATTATTATGGAACGGCAATCAGTTCCAAACAAAAGAAAGGCACTGAATTGAGCAATACATGTACATCGATTAGAATGACATAACTCTAGAACAGCCAGCAGTATCATTTGACACCGAGCGTGTTGAACCTTTGGGATTTAATACTGAAATATGATTCATCAGATTCAGCTCAATTCTTTTTTTACTCTGTTGCTCACTCCTGTGTGCAGCCACACCATACATGCTCCCACCCCTAATACACCTCACTTACATGCACACCCACATACACACGCACCCAGCAAAAACAAATAGCCTGTGTGGGGACAGCAACAACAGCAAGAAGAAAAAGAACATCACTGAACGTACATTGGGCGAAATACTCAACGAACATTATAATGGAACGGCATTCGGTTCGAAACAAAAAGAAAAGCGCGGAATTGAGCAATACATCGATGAGAATGACATAACTCTAGAACAGCCAGCAGTGTCATGGATTCAGCTCAAATATCGTGACTATTCCTAATTTTTCTTCCTCTTTCGTCTGCCATATACCTTTGATTTATTATTGATGAGGTACCACAACGGCAAGTATGTATACCTAGAAAGACCAACCAATATTTCAAGTAGATGAAAATGATTTGAAGAGATTTCGAAGGCGTCGGTCATATTGAGTTTTTTTTTTTTGCCGACCAGACAAAGGAAAGTTACATGGGCAGGAAAACTACGGAACACAGGACGGAATATACGATCAACATGCAACCGTCGAGCGAGATAATAATATAAGAATCTTTATTTCAGTATTACCCAAAGGCTAACGCCTATCTGGGGATCTTCTATTAAATTTTGTGTATTTACTAGTAACATAGTTAAGGATGCGAAAATCGCGAATTTGGAACGGGTGAACATTTAATTGTTCACTTTAGGCCTTATTCGCCAACTATGACAGTTTGCTCCAGTTTCGTCATTCGAAACTGGGCAAAATAAAAATCAGACTACAATAACTTATCACTCTCCCCCCCCCCCACCTGCGCAGACCTGAAACGGTGGTGCGCTAATGGGCTGCCTGGGCCCCAGATGCCTCCCTGATGTGCCACGGGGTGCAGTCCATGATCCAAGCACCTGTATCACTTCGTTGATCCAAAAGCGAATGCAGCATTGCCGGTCGCCCGCTGGCCTGCCGCCTACGCGACCAGCCTGAGACTGGCCCTGCCGCATTTGGCGCTTCTGAGCGCTGCGATGCGGAGACAGGTCACTGGGCTGTCAATTACGTGACTGGCTTGAGGACAGTTCCATACTGCACGGCTAGGCGGAAAGCTGAGGTCGCACGCGGCAGCGGCGTAAGCTGGGCGCCGCGAGGGCTGGTGATAACTACAGTTTCCTCCTTCCTCCTCAGGACACTTCCATTTAGTACCTTCCAAGTTAGAGGTATATTGGAGTGCGCATCCAGGATGTGCTAGGGCTGTTAGCCAGTTAGTTGTAGGACGTCAGTACAGTAGGTCAGTGCCGTTCAGTGTTATCGCATGAGCTGATTGTTTAGTAACTGGTGGTGTTAGTGGACATTATAGTGTAAATTGTAGTTCTTTCGTCCTCTTTTCTTTTCTATTAATTAATCACTGTCTCTCTACAGGAGTTCATTCTTGCGCACCTGATGAGCCCTCCTTATCTATACGCCGAAACGATCGTCGTGTGAAACTGCTACTTGTTACCGCTACTTATTGTCCATCTAAATTGTTATAGTCGAAGTACGGTGCAGTTTTACGGAGAGGTTATATTTTGCATGATTCTTGTTCGCATAACTTCCCCTTTTATTGCTCTTCGCGTCTTCTGAGCAACACAAGTGGTGTAGAATGTTGCTTTGCGTCCTTGAATCGTGGTTTGACCATATTGTCGTCATTGACATGCATGTACATTCTTACATTCGTTTTCCCGCTTTCTTATCTCTGATATTACTGACCCACCCAAGTTGGGTGGTGTGTTGCTTTGCTGCTTCGAATTGTAGCTAGACCGCATTGCCATGTTTTCAACTGGTCTGGTCATCGTCCTGTAACAGTCGGCATTCTTTGTTGCCGTGGGACTGAGATTGTGCACATTTAGGATAAGCTCATCTTCCCCCTTGGTCGTACGCAACATTGTACCTTCCAAGTTGGAAGCCTGTTGGAGTGCACACTGAAGATGTGTTAGAGCTAGGGCTTACGTTGTTGAATGTCTCAGTGGATTGTCCGTTTTGTGCCCTGTTATCGAACTTTCTGACCGCTTGTTATCATATTACCGTCGTGGATAATTCTTACAAAGCTCGTTTCAATGTGTTTTCTTCTTCCATTTAATATTTAATACTGGTGAAGCTCGGCTTGACTCGTTTCACCGCAGGCAGCTCCGACAAATCAATCAATAACAGCGCCCTCTACAAGCGGTGCGCAGCGCACCCGATAAGCCGGATCAAAAAGGAGGGTGGAGGCTGTTCGTGCACGTACTACGTCTGCCAGACGGATGTCCACCTGTTATGGAAATGGAGAGTTATTTCCATGTGCAAGCTTCTCTTCGGCGTAGCAGACCACGTACAAACCGCCGGCTGTCCTGTCCCGGGACCTCCGTGGTGCAGGGAGGCAAGGCAACATAGGCCTGTCTGGCCTGCACTCCCTCAGAGACTGGTCGCGAGACCGCGGACAGTGGGCTGCCTTGTGCCGCTCCGTCTGCGGCTAACGTCGGGGATCTCATAGTGCTGGGAACTCTGTCGTTTTCTTCCGGCACAGCGCAACAATCTTTCGTCCTGGCATTTGTTTGTCTGTCTAAAACTGTCGTTTGTAGCAGTACTCTGCCTCTCGTGCCTTGATGCTGTGCCTCGTGCTAGCTATTGGTCTGTTTTTCTTGACTCGTGTCGTGTTGTCTATTGTTGGCTGTCCTCTTCCCGTATCCATTCAGCATATGCGAATCTGTGGGCATCTATCATGTAGAAATTGCTGACATTGACGCGGAAACGCGATTAATAATAATAATAATACAGCTCACAGACACATGTTGAATATTTTGGACCCGCTCTTAGCACTCCTTTCATGTTTCCTATAATATCGATTTCAGAAAACCTCACAGTGGTGCAATGGAACCGCGCGGTGCGAGGCAGAATGAGGGTTAAAACTGTACTAGTACGTCAGTAAGTAAGCGCTCGAAGCGACTGCCCCAGAATCCCCTGACACCATCATCAAAGATGTTGTTTGTGCATTTTCTCGAAATATTTTGCATGTATCCGAGTGAGTGTCTCGCCTCTCAATCAGCAGCCGGGCGATATTAAACCGTCTTGCTAAATCCCAGCTTACGGACTTTGTTCTACAGTTTGCAGCACTTATCGTACAGCCTTCCTCCCGCTGGGCATATTAACAGTAATGCTGAGACATGTTACTGTAGGGTATATGACTGCAATGTACCTGACAGCCGACCACGGTATATTGTTCCATAGTGCTGCTGGGTATTCCAGGACTGCCCAGCCCCACGCTCTCCGTGTGTTGGTATCCGCAATGAGCAACATCAACGTCTCACGGATACTAAGCTAAGTGACTTGCTCGCAACTTGCTAATGCATGTACGCCTCCCCCTTTTTGACACGAGGTCTACAGTTTTTTGGTGTGGAGATCTCACTGCTGGCCTGAGGGCACACTGAGGGGATATGATGTGTCAAACAGTACTGGGCAACTGTTATTGGCTTTCCTCTAGGAGGTCCACACGCTATTGCTTGGAGCGAGCACGGACGCATCTATTAACGTGCAATTGCAAACTACATGACTGTACAGTACCTGGCTTTACGCTCACATGACTACCACCGAGGAACGCAGTGTCATCTTAATTGCGCAACTTGATGCTACTTTCACCGGTAGATGGCGCTGTAACAGTTTTCCCCTGTTCTCTATAACTTTACACTCCCTCGCACCTCATGCGTCTTACGCCTGTCTATTAGCACCTTCATTGGCGCCATTGCCACATGTATACTATCACATTTTGCATATAACTGGTCGAGGCACGCTCAACCAGGCCTCTTACTTTTCAAGTTTGATTAAACCTGTTACACTGGTAGCAGAGGATGGTTACTACTCTGCTTTTGGCAGGTGTTCTGGTCGCTCTGCTTACGCTCCTCGTACTCGTCGTTCGGATGATAAACGATATCAAGACCGCTCAGCGCGTTAGCCAAGGAAACCGAACGATACATCCGAACTCGGAACCGTGGGAGCCAACACCCCGCCTTACGAAAGAGCCGCCTGTGTTTGGAGGAGATTCCGCTACATTCAAAGAATGGACGTTTGCAATGGACATGGCCCTACGGTCGTTGGCACTCCCAAATGCGGCACAGAGGGTCGACTACGCGGCAGGATTTTTGACTGGAAACGCTCGTCTTTGGTTGATAGCGGCATTGGAAGCTAACCAAGTGTTTTCCGACTGGCCTGCTCTGAAAGCGGCACTTGGCGATGTGTACGGACCACGGCACAACGAGGAAACATCGCGTATGGGACTAATTTCCGCAGCGCAGCGCGGGTCGCTGGACGCATACATTGCTGCTTTCACTCGCCTCAGCCTGCAAGTGCCGGAAATCGACCACCACACCAGAGCGCTGCTGTTCGTCAGGGGTCTAGTGCCGCACATCCAGCGACAGGTCATGCGTGAGCATCCACGTACCCTGGAGCAA